ACTGGGTACCTCCCTAATGACATAAATAATAAAAAACTGGTATTTGTTACAACACACTCCAAAGGACTTCAAATACATAATTAAAATAAAGGGACAAGGGAGGATGTTCTTGTTACAGAAGCCAGGTTACTAACATCAGACTGTGAACACATGGTTCCCAGACCGACATAATTTTCAGTAACATGAATAAGCATGAAATGACCATCTGCAGGAGGGCACAGTAAAGAAAATGATGTTAAAAAAAGGTAAAATCTTACCTCGTAATTCCTCCATATGAAAGAGCAATTCTGGTAACTGACGATCAACCAGATCTTCTGCTGTTTTTCCTTTGCTTTTCTGTTGTGGTGGATTATCATTGTGTCGCAAGAGCCAGTATACTTCATCTCTCGCACAACAAAGTCCAATGAATATCAACAATGCCTGACAACAATATTTTAAAATAAAGACACATTAAAAATTGTGAAATATCCACTTATCTCTGGGAAGGATTGGACAGAATGAAGCACAATTTTGGCAAACTTGTGTGAGTGCGTACGCATATGCGGCGGTGGTGGTAGTGACAATTACATGAATATTTCATGCCTCTGGAATAAACAACTTATAACTGCAAATAGTAAGTAAAAGTAAGTAAATGTAAAGGTATCCTTGTAACAGGCCGTGGACGCCCATAGGGTTGTGAGATGTTGAGGTTCCCACATTTTCTAGACAACTGGCTAATAGACAGTGGCAAGGCTGTCAGCCTTATGCGCCAGCCACCCTTTACCCCCGAGAACATTCCAAGAATATTCGTGGTACTCATTTCTGTTAGACGCTGAGTCGACCCTAGGGCCATAGTGCAGCTGGAAGGATGAGGTAAATTGAAAAAAATCCAATGACCTCATCGGGATCTGATCCCGCAATCTTCCAGCTTGTAGCGTAGTGCCTCAACCAACTATGCTACTGTGTGCCCCTAAATGCAAATGGTGTATATGGAAAGGTCCCTGGACTGTTAGTGTTGTAACTTGCCTCAGTGAGGGAAGATGAGAGGGGAGGCCAAGGTCACAGTTCTGCAAGCCTATTGCAGCCACTACCGAAACCCTTGAAATGCTTCATGAGGCTCTTGGAGAACATTCTTTAAGCTGAACAGTGGTTTCTGAATGGCATTCAAGTTTCAAGGCTGGTTACATGTCAGCTGAAGATGACGAATGTTCAGAGCGACAAAGCACCAGCAAAACGACAGAAAATGTTGAAAAAATTTGGGAACTCATCCACAAAGACCGTCATGGAACAACCCTTGACCTCGCTGAGACTGCTGAGATCAGTTATGGAGTTTGCCAGGAGATCTTAACAAAAAATCTGAACATGCACCCCAATGTCATGAAGTTTCTTCCCTGACTCGACAAATGATCAAGAGCAACACTGCATAAACGTGTGTCTTGAGCTATGAAAGAAGGCTAACAAGTACCCAACTTTTATCTAAAGGATTATAACAGATGACAAAAGTTGGATTTTATGGTTATGACCCAACAACCATCAGAGCAGAAGAGCCCAAAATCACCTAGAGCAAGAAAGGAAAGGCAGGTCCAGAGTTCAACAAAGAGCATTCTCATTGTTTCTTTCTATGTGAACGGGATTGTTCACTGTGAATTTGTTCCTCCTAACACTACGGTCAACTCTGACTTTTACTGCGACATTTTGAGATGCCTGAGAGAAAATGTGAGATGAAAAAGACCAGAACTTTGGTGCTACAACTGGTTCCTTCAGCATGACAACGTGCCTGTCCACATGTCCCTGAAAACCACAGAGTTTGTGACTAACAACAACATGGTTATCATTCCCCATCCTCCCTAATTGTCAGACTTAGTGCCCTGTGATTTCACTTCGTTTCCTAAATTGAAAATGAAACTGAAGGGACAATGTTTTGAAACAGTGTCTGACAGCCNTGATTTCACTTCGTTTCCTAAATTGAAAATGAAACTGAAGGGACAACTGGTACTCAACAGCATTAAGGAAAATGACTTCCACGGTGCTTGTGAAGCGTGGAAAAAATTATGGGATCGCTGTATACATTCCCAAGGAGACTGTTTTAAAGATGGCAGTCAAAATTAAGTGAGTTATGCTGGCATTTCTTTTCTGGCCTAGTCTGGGAACTTTCTGATACACCTAGTATACTAATGAGGAGGAAAAGAGGTGCAAATGATCAAACTTTTACACCTTTTTTGCTCTCTTAAATTTTAGCAAGTAATTTTTGAGATAAATTAATGTAGGCATTCATGTAAGAGGTAATTAAAATTACTCAATTTATATAAAACCTGAAGCAAGGCAAATATTTTTTTTTTTTATTTCCCCAGTATCAAATTTCTTGAAAATCCATCAAGCAGTTCAGGAGTTGTTTCATGCATATAGGCAGATGGATGGACTGACTTAAAAGGCACTCCATATGGTTTTGAATGTACCTTAAAAGGCGCATGGCTAAGCCCCAAACCGGATAATCCACATAAACATAACTAGGAATATCCTGTTAAGTTACCTGATGGGCAAAGCCTTATATATATTTTTGAGAGTTCCATACAACTTGTCCCAACTTCAGTTATAACTATGTATAAAGTAGATACTGAATGAATATCTTATTTATATTTTAAAGTTTTTGCCATCTGAATAGTATTCATATTAAGAATATTACTGGCTGAAACATATAATGCACAATTTGTGAAATGTACTATACAACGGAGGTTGTTTGCATTATAAAATGGTGCAGTCTTTTGGGACACACACATACAAGTTAAAGTCCCATAATTCTTACGTCTGGTGTAACATATCTCAGAAGTCAGAGTGTAAGTAAACAGAGATTCTTCTTCATGGAAAGTAACACACACCTTTGGTCCTAGGAGTCCAGGTTGATCAGTTAAGATTAAACCAAGCTCTTTGAGTGTTGTCCTTAAAAATTTTCTCCTTTCTCGATGATGATGGGCACTGGTTATGAAACCAAAATGGACCATAATATAAGTACAATATCAATAATATTTACCTAATGAACAAACATGACCATACAAACTCAAACTGATTTGATCCAGCTACTAATATATACAGGGTGTCCCAGGAGGAATGTGCCAAACTTCGGGAGGGTGTTCCTTATGTTAAAGTATGCCGATATAACCCAAAACACCTATGTCCAAAGTTGAACGGTTACGGAGATAATGGCC